CCACTTATACCAAGCACTGGTTCATATTGATATCATCATCTCAAGATAAAATGGTACATTTTATATTACATTCACTTTATCACAATTTTTAAAAATAATTTTTTAAAAAAGGTAATACATACCTGGATGCTACTAATTCTTGGTGGGATCTGCAAAGCATACTTTATATTCAAACACAGCAACATTTCTGCAGCAAGATGTATGAATTTGTATACCAAGTGGGAAAAACAAAGATTGGAAATAGCCTCACTTCACTTCGGGTGACGTTGTGCTACCCTATAAGTTGATGAAAAACTTTCTGTTTCCAGAGTTTTATGGATTCCAGAAATGTGTGGAAAGAATTGGGGACTGTATTACACTATGTAGACATTCGATTAACTTACCTGTGTTAGATTTGCTGTTTGCTTTCAGTATTTCAGAGTCAGTAGAATGTTTTCATGTGTCAAACATTTTCAAAAGGTCCCTGAAAAATCTCAGGGCCCTAATGGAACAAAGGGGCCTGGAGGCAGACCTAGAACATAGGCAGGTGACAGAAGTCCAGCACTGGCACCTCTCTCTCTCTCGGGAGGGGGCGAGGCATGTCAAGGTGGAGATGGTGACACTGCTGCCTCCCAGTGATTTCTCTCCCACCCTGTCTGTTTCTTCCAGATACAGAGACAAGAAAATCCACGGTGTCACAGCATCAGTTTGAACACTCAATTCATCACCACGGTAAATATTCAAGTACAGCATATATTTAAAAGCAGCAGGAAGGTACAGGTCTGCACTATGGCTTCCGTCCACCCCACATAGAGGATGTGGGGAGCAGGAAGGCCCTGAGGGTGGTGCACATCTCCAAGGAAGATCAGGATGGGTCACGGGTACCTCGTCCATAGGTGCCTTCTCTCTTCCCACCTGGCTGTCCCGAGAGTCTGCTCACTTGGGGCACAGTGTGCTCTCTAATGCCTGCAGGTATCTGCAGATGTCTTCTCTTTCTTGGGGAAATGCTCCTGGCCTTGCTGTGGCCCACCCTGGGTGCTCTCAGACACACAACTCAACCCTGGGGAGTGTCTGATGCAAGGAGATGCCACCAAGGGCTGGCTGAGGAGGAGGAAACATTCCTTCTGAGTCCTGTCCCTTTTCACCCTCTACGGTACTCTTGAGGAAAGGGGAAAGGACAGTTTTCTCTGCAGGCTTTTACCACCCTCCTGACTGCTGCTTCTCCTACACCCAACGAAGCATCCGATGTTTATTCATGACAAGTTATTTTGAAACGAGCAGTGGGTGCTCCCAGCCAGGTGTCATGTAAGTACCAAGCTCACCCACCATGAGTTGGGGGACAGGGAGCCCGCAGGTATTGGACAGTGGATCTGATGGATGGGTGTGCCAGAGAAGCCCCACCCCGACCCCCACCACCAGGATCCCACCAGGAAAGGGGCAGCTTATGTCCTTACTAGGATCCTTCAGGGCATCAGGTATTAGACATTCCCAGTGGAGAGGAGGGAGGGAAGGAAGGACAGAGCAGGCAGAAAGCTGCCCAAGGACGCTCCCATGAGTCACTAAGGAGTGTCACAGGCTAAGGGAGGGTCTCAGGAGGACATTGTCCCTGAGATGCCATCAGCAGAGAATGGAAAGTACAGGCTGCGTTGAGTGGGGAATCTGAGGGCCAGGGAGGATGGAGTTCCCCGTCTCCATTTGCTAAAGTTACCTGAGATTGTAATCTCTCTCCCCCTTGTTCCCCAGCTTCCTCACTAAGAAGGGGCAACGTGTCTGTGCCAACCCCAGCAATGAGCAAGTTCAGGATTGCATGAGAAAACTGAAGAGTTCCCCAGTATCCATGGGCCCCGGAACAATAAAATTTACTTGAGAAGACACACAAGTTACCAGCTGCCCACCTCCAACTCTCTTGCAAAAACTATATCCTGAATTCTTTTTTTAAAAAAACATTTATTCTTCTGTTTTGGTTTTAAAGCAATGCATCTAATAAAGAGTATACAATTTACTTGAATTTATTTTATTTTATTTTATTTTATTTTGTGACCGGTAAGGGGATTGCAACCCTTGGCTTGGTGTCGCCCACACCGCGCTCAGCCAGTGAGCGCACTGGCCATCCCCATATAGGATCCGAACCCGCGGTGGGAGCGCCCCTGTGCTCCCAAGCGCCGCACTCTCCCAAGTGCACCGCGGGACTGGCCCTAATTTACTTGAATTTTAAGAGGAAAAAGAAACTGAAGGAATTATTGAACTTTGGATAAGTATTGTCTTCAAAACAAGGACATCATATTATAATTTTTTAAAAAGCTAAAAATATAACTCATTTAAATTTAGGTTGAATATGAGTCAAAGATGTATTTAACTCATTAGTGGGAGAACCATTAAATTGATTCAAAGGTCATTTGAGGAACAGAGGTATATGTAGTTAATTGGGGATGACATTCTGAAATACGTTTGCTAAATTACAGTACAGATTAATATCCTGTATATAGGGCAATAATAAAACTGTAACCTTTGGATTATTTTCCCAGTGAACAGGAATCATTTGTATCTGTGCTAGTCAAAAATTCACAAGTTAACATGTAATTTCACAAAGTCTGGGGTTGATCAATAGTAAGAAAAACATCAATCAAAAGAACATTCCCTGATGTTCTATTGCACAGTAGGGTGACTATGGTTAACAGTTAAGTTTTGCATATTACATAATAGCTAGAGGAGAGGTTTTTGAATGCTCTCGCTACAAAGAAATGACAAATGCATGAAGTGATTAACTACCCTGACCTGGTTATTATGCAACATATATATGTATCAAAATATCAGATTGTACCCCATAAATATGTACAATTACAATGTGCAAGTTAAAACTTTTTAAAAAAAATAGAATTAAAAAATATATATGTATATTTTAAAACGTACATTCTCCTACAGATTTAAGGAATCCTGAAGTGGGCCTGTTAGACAACATTCCAATATGACTTTGAAAAGTATACACTCATTCTTTTGCCTATTTCTAAGTTTCAGATGTTTTTCTTAATAGACATAAGTTTCTAAGAGATTTCTCCCCTAAACTTAAAGGACATTTAAAAAAAAAACATTTAAAGATGGAGTTAATATCAATTTTATATACACCTTTGTTTAGCATATAAGTTTATAATTAGTACATCTTGGTCAACTGTTTTATAAAATTCAAAAGACAGCACTGAATTCTAAACAACAATAAAATATTTTTCATTTAAAAAAAAGTTTAGGGCCGGCCTGTGGCTCACTCGGTAGAGTGCGGTGTTGATTAACACCAAGGCCACGGGTTCGGATCCCATATAGGGATAGCCGGTTTGCTCACTGGCTGAGCGTGGTGCTGACAACACCAAGCCAAGAGTTGAGATCCCCTTACCGGTCATCTTTAAAAAAAAAAAAGTTTAGAACCTATCCTTTTTTTTAGGGTGATTTGCCTAAAAAATCAATAGCAGAAAACTGATCAATAATCAAATAACGTTTCTAACAATAAATCACTATTAGAAAAAAAGTCCTGCAATAATAATGATAAAAGATGGGAATTATTATATCCCCCAAAGAGATTAAACACAAATTCACATGAATGTCTCATTTTCTCCTATCAAAATAGCTAACCTTCAAAGTTTTCACTACAGTTTAGAAAACAGTGTCTTTTACCATGTTTACTTAATATGTGACCCTTGATAATCTCATGTAGATTCTTATTTTCGAGTAATTTTTAATTGACTTTTTTGCTTATTAACCAAAAGAGAAGTACTCACCTTCATTTCATTATTATGATTCTGCATTTGCACTCGAGACTCACACTATTTGTTTTATGTTAACTACCTCGTCCTTGAAAACATTCTTTAAGGACCTTGTAACAACTGTACTCTGGGAAGTTCGTGAAGAGGGTAGAACTCATGTGTTTAACTACACACACACACACACACACAAACTCACACACAGACTGACTCTCTCTCTCTCTCTCTCTCTCTCTCAAACCTCATTGTATTGGGAGGGAGCCGTGAAGTAAGTAAACATTTAAAATAGAGCACGACAGGAGCTATGGTAGATTTAAGTGCCAGATGCTGTGGAATCACTTAGGAGGGACACCTGGCCCAGCCTAGAGGCAATGAGAGCCAAGAAGTCTTCCTGGCAGAGGTCACTGCTGAGTAGAGTTGATGGGTTAGTAGGAATTAGTATAGCATAGGGCCAATTTATCCACTAGGCAATAATATTGGGGTCCTGAAAAAAAAATTCAAAAGAAAAAAGTATAAGATCTAAATTAATAAATGCATCATTAACTGTAAACTTAGTATGCATTAAAATGTCATTACATTGGAAAACAGAGGAGCTGTACATGCAAGGAGGATCCAATACTGAAAGGCCTTCTACCCTCAGACAAAAATTTTAGAATTTACCAAGGTCAAGGGTTCGGATCCCTATACTGGCCAGTCACCAAAAAAAAAAAAAAAATTGGAACTGACCCTGAGCCCAAGATCAGTCTCTGGCAGAATCTGCGTGAGGAATCACATGGCCAAGTCTACATGTTAGAGTGTTCCCTCTAGGGGTCACCCGATCATAGGCTTTTGGGGCACTCGAAGGTCCAGGAAGTACTGGTTAGGACTTGGTATCATCAGTGCCTGGGAAAATCTCCTGGTCCCTAATCTTGAGACCCTCAAGCTCTCCATTCTGGTGGCCAACTTGACTGGCTCTTATCTTTAAAGTCCCTCTGGTTGAGACTCCAGGAACAGAACTGGAAATGGACACAAGACAGTATCACCAAGTCCTAATCCAAGTTGGGAAGTGTGAAATAGTCTCTCACTCCCACCCCAGGCCCGGATTTAGAGGAGTAAATGAATCTCCCAGAGGAAAGGCTCTTCCTTGCCTATTGGCATCTGAAGTGGAGGCAGTCTGTGCGACTGAGCCCTTAACCTGTGGGCTCTGTGCTAACCCCAGGTAGAGGTGTCAGAGGTGAAGTACTGAGAAGAGTAGTGGAGGAGAAACAGGAGTGTTCCTTTCGAGGAGTCAGAAAATATGAATATATCTTTGAAGGTAGAGCTAAAAGTACGTGCTAAAGAATTGCATGTGGGGTGTGAGACAAAGAGACGTGTCAAGGATATCCCCAGACACAGTGGGAAGAGTCACATGGCCAGGTCCATAAGTTTGGGTGTTCTCTCTGGTGGTCCCCCATGTTTATAGGTTATTTGGGCACCTGAAGGTGGTTAAGTCCTGAGGATTAATTTGATTTAGAGGATTAATGAATCTCCTAGAGGGAAGAATCCTTCTTAAAATATTTACTGCCTTTGCCTGTACCCATTGGGACAGCTCTGGAAGCCCCTGGGGACAAGTTCAAGTCAGATTTGCCCTCTACTTCCTCTTGCACTCTCAGCCTTGTTCCCTTTTTTAAGAAATGGTGTGTGAGCTATGAAATAGCTAATGAACAACCTTCCAACCTCTGCCCTGTGACTTCCTGATCCTCCTGCTCTTATAAACACAAGGACAGAGCTGGCGTCCTGGAGAGGCAGGGAGCAGTGAGCCCAGGAGTCCTCAGGCCGGCTCTGCTGCCCACCAGGAAGATGAAGGTCTCTGCAGCTGCCCTCTCCTTCCTCATCCTTGCTGCTGCCCTTGGATCCCAGGCCCACGTCACACATGGTGAGTCCAGGGAGCCTTCTCACTGGTGGCCGGGTTCAGGGTAACTCATGGTCTGGGGAAGGGACGCAGAGGGACACCACTTTCCTCCTGTGACTACTCTCCATCTCAGACACGGTGATGGCACTTATTTAAAAGCAGCAGCAGGATACAGACCTGCCTCTGTCTGCAGCCTTTAGTCCCTGGGAAAACTACACAGATGACTGGTCCCATTTGGGAATCATTATTTCTCTTTTCATCGCCAGAATTGTTTGATACCTTCCCTTAGCTGACACAGGACTATTAAGTGCCAGATCAAAAGAACTGTAGTAAAACTGTAAATTTGTGGAAAGCAGCATGTTAGAACTTATATATACCATCTAGTATAAAACTATCATGTTGTAGAGGAAATGGGACCATCCAGGCAAGTGACTCACTGAACGTACTGTCCCATTTGTACCTGGGGAATTTTATTTCATGAAGGTACTGAGAGTTCACACAGAGAGGCTAATGCCATTGATGAAACAGTGTATTACTTGCACTTCCCTAAAGAAGTAGGCACGCATGCCATATGGGACCACAGGGGACACATCAGGTCTTAGTCAGGAGGCATAGCAGAAATGAGGGGAAAACCCATGCTAGAGCCTTTATTAGGGTTTCTGAAGAGAAGGCAGGGCAAAGCAGAGTATACAGTTTGGGACTGGCTAGTTTGAATAAGTCTGGAGGGCTTTGGAACATAGGAATAGTCTCTAGTTGCCTGGCACCTGGCCTTGGCGTGATTTAGGGCAGGGGAAGTACAGCTTCGTGCGTGAGTTAGATAAAGGTGTGGTTGGGCACCTGGGCTCGGGATTACTTGGTTTGGATATTGTTGTAAATGAGAGTCTGAACCCTTTGCTATCTCTAAAAATTGGCTAGCCCTGGGAGAGGCAGTTTCTCTCCCCAGCTGCCAGATTTTTTTTTATCCTTTTTGTCTTTTTTCGTGACCGGCAACGGATCACAACCCTCAGTGTCGCGCCCGTACCGGACCGGGACCGGCCACGGGATCGCAACCCTCGGTGTTGCTCCCGCCCCTCGCTCAGCCAGTGAGCGGCTGGTCTGTATGTGGGATCCGAACCCTCGGCGGGAGCGCCGCAGCACTTCCCAAGCAGCGCACTACAGCAGTGCGCCACCGGGCCGGCCCCATGCCAGATTTTTAAGACGTCAAAATATCATAAGATGCAGAAAATTTTTTTTAAATGATTAATACATTTAATTCTATTTTTTTAACAAATAAATATCGAGTACTTCCTATGTGCCAGCAGCCTCTGTTCTAACTGTCTTATAGATTTAAGTGTCATCACACATTGATTCTTCCTAACTCTGTGGGATAGGTACTAGGCTGACCAACCACAAACCTGCCAGTTGTAAGGAAAAGAAAAACAGAGGGACATGAACAATTTTATACAGTTTTGCATATTATTATTATTATTATTCTCATTTTACAAATGAGAAAACTAAGGCATAGAAACCATACATAACTAGCTCAAGATCAGAAAGCTGTTAAGTGGTAGAATTAGCAAGTAGCTATGAAAAGACAAGGCCATTTAAGATTGGTTTTTCTGCAAGTCCACCAACCTCAGATCAAGCATATTAAGTTGTACGCACATACCTTACTAAGTATAATTCATATGTAAGTATATATAAAATGAGCTAAAAGTTTAGTTGCATTTGCCTAATTAGCAAAATGCAGGTCTGCAATCCCTTATCTAAAACCTCTGGGGCTAGATGTACTTTGGAATACAAAATTTTTTTGGTTTTAAAAAGGTAATACATAACTGCACATGACTTAACATCCATGGTAGTGTCTCGGAGGCATACTTTAATCGAACACAGTGATACTTATGCAGCAAACACATACACATATTTATTCTGAAAGGGATAAATAAAGACTGGAAATAGCCTCACTTCACTTCGTGTGACATTGTGCTACCCTATAAGTTGATGAAAAGCTTTCTGTTTCCAGAGTTTTATGGATTCCAGAAATGTGTAGAAAGAATTGGGGACTGTATTACACTATGTAGACATTCGATTAACTTACCTGTGTTAGATTTGCTGTTTGCTTTCAGTATTTCAGAGTCGGTAGAATGTTTTCATGTGTCAAACATTTTCAAAAGGTCCCTGAAAAATCTCAGGGCCCTAATGGAACAAAGGGGCCTGGAGGCAGACCTAGAACATAGACAGGTGACAGAGGTCCAGCACTGGCACCTCTCTCTCTCTTGGGAGGCTCAGGGCCCTAATGGAACAAAGGGGCCTGGAGGCAGACCTAGAACATAGGCAGGTGACAGAGGTCCAGCACTGGCACCTCTCTCTCTCTTGGGAGGGGGTGAGGAATGGAAGGGTGGAGATGCTGACACTGCTGCCTCCCAGTGATTTCTCTCCCACCCTGTCTGTTTCTTCCAGATACAGAGATAAGAAAACTCATGGTGTCACAGCATCAGTTTGAACGCCGAAATCGTGACCACAGTAAATATACAAGTACGGCTTATATTTAAAAACAGCAGGCAGGTACAGGTCTGCACTATGGCTTCCATCCATCCCACATACAGGATGTGGGGAGCGGGAGGGCCTTGAGGGTGGTGAACATCTCCAAGGAAGATCAGGATGGGCCATGGGTACTTCGTCCATAGGTGCCTTCTCTCTTCCCACCTGGCTGTCCCGAGAGTCTGCTCACTTGGGGCACAGTGTGCTCTCTGATGCCTACAGGTATCTGCAGATGTCTTCCCCCTCTTGGGGAAATGCTGCTGGCCCTGCTGTGGCCCACCCTGGGTGCTCTCAGACACACAGCTCAGTCCCGGTGAGGGATTGAAGCAAGGACATGCCAGCAAGGGCTGGCTGAGGAGGAGGAAACATCCTGAGTCCTGTGCCTTCCCACCCTCGATGGTACTCTTGAGGAAAGGGGGAAAGGACAGTTTTCCTCAAAAAGAGACTCGGCCTTTAAATGGCCCTTTCTCTTGCTGCAGGCTTTCACCTTCCTGCTGACTGCTGCTTCTCCTACACCCAACGAAGCATCCGATGTTTATTCATGAAAAGTTATTTTGAAACGAGCAGTGGGTGCTCCCAGCCAGGTGTCATGTAAGTGCCAAGCTCACCCACCATGTGTTGGGGGACAGGGAGCCCGCAGGGTATTGGATGGTGGACCTGATGGATGGGTGTGCCAGAGAAGCCCCACCCCGACCCCCACCACCAGGATCCCACCAGGAAAGGGGCAACTTGTGTCCTTACTAGGATCCTTCAGGGCATCAGGTATCAGACATTCCCAGTGGAGAGGAGGGAGGGAAGGAAGGACAGAGCAGCCAGAAAGCTGCCCAAGGACGCTCCCATGAGTCACTAGGGAGTGTCACAGGCTGAGGGAGGGTCTCAAGAGGACACTGTCCCTGAGCTGCCATCAGCAGAGAATGGAAAGTACAGGCTGCGTTGAGTGGGGAATCTGAGGGCCAGGGAGGATGGGGCTCCCCGTCTCCATCTGCTAAAGTTACCTGAAATTGTAATCTCTCTCCCCCTTGTTCCCCAGCTTCCTCACTAAGAAGGGGCAACGTGTCTGTGCCAACCCCAGCGATGAGCAAGTTCAGGATTGCATGAGAAAACTGAAGCGTTCCCCAGTATCCAAGGACATGTCAATATGACACTTGCTTGATGGAAGGGGACAAAAGGTGCCAGCCACCCATATCCAACTCTCTTGTTCCAACCTCCTGTGAGTTTCTTTACCCAATTTTCTTTTTAAAAAAACATTTACTATTGCATTCTAGTTGTAAAAGAATGCATCTAATAAAGAGTATTCAATTTAACTTTGCTTGAATTTTAAGAAGAAAGGAACTAAAAACTGAAGTGATCACTGAACCCCTAGGAGATTAAACACAAGTTCACATTATGTCTCCTCTTCTCCTGTCTACTGAGATGGCTAATCTTTGAAGGCTTGGATACAGTTTCAGAAAACAATTTATTTTTCTTTACCATTTGCTCAAATCATGCCTTCTTTTAGTTTACTTAATATCTGATCCATGATAATCTCAATTAAAGTCCTGTTTTTTCCATAATTTCCTTCTGATTTTTTTTTAATTAACTAAAACAGAAGTATCTTTGTTTCATTGTCATGCTGTATTTGCACTTGCAGATTCGCACCATTTGTTTCACGGTAACTGCTTCATTCTTGGAGACATTCTTCCAGGACCTTCTAACTTCTTATTCCAATTTGGAGAAATGCTTTCTGCACCTGCCAAAAATCATACGGTGTTTATTCTCATCACATGACTGAGTTCATTCCACCATGACATGTAACCCACAGCTTCCTCTTCCTTGGGTTCATTTTTCATTTTGCTAGAATATATCCTTGGACTGCCTCCTACTATAAAAGTTGCAAAGGCAAACACTCTCCCGTGCTCCATGAGAGCCAGGACAGGCACACCCGACCCAGGCTCGGCCAGTCTGAGGCTCCCTTCCAGAGCTTTGAGCCTGGAGCAAATGTTCTAAGGAAAAGAGAGGACTCCACGCAGGTGACAGTGGTGGTGGCAACAACTTCCAGATTTTGGAGGCAGCAGTGTCAGCTCACGCATCCCAGGACCAGTGCTACAGGTCAGCACTGCTAGTTGCAGCTCACAGCAGAGGCAGCAGCATCCACACCGGTTGGTTCCTGTGGCATTGGAGCTGTTCTCTCTAGGTTTCTACCCATTTTCCAAGCCTTTCTGACAATTCTGTGCACTACTCAAAATCTTCACAGTAAATAAATTCCTTTTTTGCTTATATGAAGCACAGTCAATTTCTACTACTTTCCAACAAAGAACTCCAACTGATACAAATAATAAACTCTCTGGGATTTTGAGGGTCTAAAGACTTTTGTCTTTAAATTTGAATCATGGTTCAGCTGAATATGAAAGTCCACGTACAAAATCATTTTCTCTCAGAACACCTTTGACATTTCTCAATTATCTTCTAGCATCTCATACAATGTCAAAATTCTAAAGCCAGTTGGTTTCTTATTCCTTAAGTGTTCTGAAAACGTTTTAGACCCTCTGGGAATTTTTAGGATTTCTTTTTTATCCTTGAAGTTTAGACATCTTATCAAAATGTGTCTAAATGTGTCTTTTTTATTATTATCCCTGCTATGCCCTTTATTAGCTTTTTAATCTAAAGATTCAAGCCTTATTTTAACTCAAGAAAATTTTCTTCTGTCATGTCTTCATTTTTTCCCATCCATTTATATTGTTCTAGCCTCTCGAACTACTGGTGGATGTTGGATTTTATGCAGCTATTCCTCCTGAGTCTTAACTTTTCTCTCATATTTTACACTTTTTATTCTATGATAGAAAAATTGTTGGTCTCTAGTCATGTCCCTTCTGTATTTCATTACCGAGAATTCTTTGCTAATCTTGATCACTCCTTTTTTTTTTTGTCTTTTTTTTTTTTTTTTTTTTTTTTTT